TAGCTCTATGGTAAGTTTTCAAATTGGCAACTGTAAATTCTCCAAATTTGTTCCTTTTCAAAATTGTTTGGCTATCCTCTGTCCTCTGTATGTCCATACAAATTTTATGATCAGATTGCTAATTTCTTCCAAAAGAACCCCAAATACTCTCATTTTGATAGGGATTGCATTCAAACAAGTTTGGGGAGTATTGCCATTTTAACAATATTGAGTTTTCCAGTCCATAAACATTAGATGTCTCTCCATTTATTAAGACATGCTGTGTAGTTTTAAGTGTAGGAGTCTTACATTCCTTTTGTTAAACTTACTCCGAGGTATTTCATTCTTTTCAATGCTGTTGTGAATGGAATTGTTTTCTCAATTTTATCGTTGGATTGCTCATTGTTAACACAAAGAAATGCAGTGGATTTTTGTATATTGATCTTGGATCCTGGAACCTTGGTGAACTTGCTCATTAGCAGCCTTTTTTCCTGTATGTCCTCTTGCCATTTGGCCCCAAATGTGTCACAAATACAGAAGTGGACAGTTTCTGGTTGGAGGAAAAGGGAACCTTAGGTAACTGGAAAGTACCAGGAAAATAATGGAGATAAAGAAACTTAGGGAAATGAGCCCAGGAGATTAAGTTTCGGACTCCTGGGCTCGCCTCTAATCCACATGTGCGTGGATGTCATCCTAACTGGCATATCAAATAGTTGGAGAATTGATCTAATAGGTAGACCACCACTCACGTCTCAGAGTGGCCACTAAGTGGTGCACATGCAGGATGATCCTGATTAAAACCGCAAAGACTTTGAGTATTGAACTGACATTGGAACCACAGCCCGCAGGAGACTAGAGCGAGACTGTCAACATTCTCCACAGGGCAGGGGGAAGACCCAGAGTCTCATGACACAACACTCAAAATGTCCGGGATAGAAACTAAAATCACCAGGCAAATGAAAACCACAAAAATCTCAGCTCACACGGGAAATGCGAATAGATACCAACGATGTGATAACCCCAATGTTTGAATTACCTGACAGGGACTTTGAAGCAGCTATTGTACAAATGCTTTAACCAGAAACTGCAAACAGTCTTGACACAAATATTAAAATAGAATGACTCAGCAAAGAGAAAGACATAAAGAAAAAGCAAATGGAAATTTTGGGATTCAAAAATAGAATAAGAGAGGGAAAAAACCTTCACTCACAGGATGGATTCAATACCAGAATGGAGATGACAGGAGGAAGTGAGTGAACTTGAAGACATAGCAACAGAAATTCATCTGAGCGACAGAGAGAAAAAAGATGTAAAAAAAAATGAACAGAGTCTCAGGGACCCACAGGACAACAAGAACAGGGCTATGTTTGTGTCATTGGAGTCCCAGAAAGAGGAGAAAGACTATGGAGCTTAAAAATATTTAAAGACATTATGTCTGAAAACTTCACAAGTTTGGTGAAAGACATAATCTTACAATTCAAAAAGCATAGCAAATCCCATCCTGGAAAAACTGAAAGAAATCCACACTAAGACACTTCATAATCAAATTGCTGAAAACTAAAAACAAGGGAAAAGGCTTAAAGCAGCCAGAGAAAAATTATGAGTTACCTACAGAACAATGATTTGAATGACTGGCCTTCTCATTAGTAATACATCTTTTCAGTGCTGAAAGAAAAGAACCATCAGTTCGGATGTCTATATCCAGCAAACTTCCTTAACCCGATAAAGGGCATTGACAAAAATCCTACAGCTAACATCACACTTCATGTGACAGACTGAATGCTTCCCCCTGGGATTGGGATCAAGGCAAGAGTCGTCCTCTCTCACCACTCTTACTCAACACGGTGCTAGAATTCCATCCAGTGCAATAGGGCAAGAAAAGGAAATAAAAGGCATATTGATTGGAAAGGAAGAATTAAACTGTCCTTATTTGCAGACAACATGGGTACCTATGTAGAAAATTCCAGGGAATCTATTAAAAAAAAAAAAAAAAGGAACCAAACTCTTAGAACCAATAAGTGAATTTAGCAAGGTTGCAGGATACGAGCTCAACACATAAAAACCAATTGTATTCCCATATACAAGCAATGAATAATTGGAGGCCAAAATTTTAAGAATGTTACTATTTATAATAACTCCCCAAAATGTCTAGGTGTAAATCTAACAAAATTTGTAAAGTTTCTCAGTGCTAAAAACTACAAAATGCTGTTGAAAGAAATCAGATAAGATCTAAATAAATAGAAAGACTTACCATGTTCATGAATTTGAAGGCTCAGCCTAATAAAGATGTCCATTCTCCCCAAAGTGATCTATAGATTTAACACACCACCAGGCAAAGTTCCAGCAAGATTTTTGTTTTATAGACATAGACAAGCAAATTCTAAAATTTATATGTAAGGGCATTGGAACCAGAATAACTAAAAGAATTTGACAGAGAAGAACCAAATTGCTGGAAACGACTTGATTTTAACACAGCTACAGTAATCAAGACTGTGGTGTTGGTGGTAGCTGCATCCAGATGGATAGTCCAGGAACAGACCCACAGAAATCTCTGACATCTGTGTCAACACAGTTCAGTGGAGAACAAATCGTCATTTCAGCAAATGGATCTGAACTAGTGGTCACCCACATGCAAAGAGGTGAACCTTTACATTTCACACCTTACACAAAGGTAAACTCAAAGTGAATCCTGGGTCTAAATGCCAAACATAGACTAAACAACTTATAAAGGAACAAATAGGAGGAAATCTTCATGACCTGGGCTTAGAGTTTGTAGAAATGGCATCACGATCCATAAAAGGAAAAAATAAATAAATTAGGCATCATCAAAATTAAAAACTTTTGTTTCCCCAAAGATACTGTCAAGAGAAAGACAAGAAACCAGGTACTGTGGACTCACATATCTGAAGGGGACTTGGATGCAGAGTATGAGTTCTCAAAACTCAACACGAAGAGAACACAATTTACAGACAGGAAAAGCTCCTGAACCAAAGAAGGTGTGGGGACGGCAAATAAGCCCAGGAAAAGACGCTCAGCAGGGGCGCCTGGGTGGCTCAGTCGTTAAGCGTCTGCCTTCAGCTCAGGTCATGATTCCGGGGTCCTGGGATCGAGCCCCGCATCGGGCTCCCTGCTCGGCCGGAAGCCTGCTTCTCCCTCTCCCACTCCCCCTGCTTGTGTTGTCTCTCTCTCTCTCTCTGTCAAATAAAATCTTTAAAAAAAAAACGCTCAGCATCATCAGACTCCAGGGCGCCCCCACAGCTCATCCGAAAGCCTGAGAGGAGAAGCCGGAGGGTCGCGGGTGCGAATCCCGGAGGGTCGCGGATGAGAATCCCGGGGGGTCGCGGGGCGAATCCCGGGGAGTCGCGGGTGCGAATCCTGGAGGGTCGCGGGTGCGAATCCCAGGGGTCGCCGATGAGAATCCTGGAGGGTCGCGGGTGCGAATCCGGGGGGTCGCGGGTGAGAACCCCGGGGGGTCGCGGGTGCGAATCCCGAGAGCGGCTGGACTGAACGAGCGGATGCTGGGAAAGCCCAGAGCCGGACAGCCGCCCTGGAAAGTGGTCTCTGTACACTTAGCAAGAATGCAGCAATCCCAGAGAAATGAAGATGCACGTTCACACAAAAACGTGCGCGTGGATGTGGTGGAGGCTTTATCCGTAACAGGTGGGAACAGCCCAAATGGTTTTCCGAGGGCGAGCGGAGAAGCAGACCGCGGCCCTCCGTCTACACCGCGGGACACCGCTCAGGCGGGCTCTGGATCCGCACACCCACCCGATGAGTCCCCGAGGCGAGACGCTGCGAGGGAGGGGCCAGGGTCCCGCATGGCGTGGATGCGGCATCCCCAAAGACGAACGGACCAGCATGGAGATCGGAGCTGCGCTGCCAGGGGCGATGCTGGGGCGCAGTGTGCCCAGAAAGCCAGAGCAGGAGGGAGTTTGGGGGGTGACGGAACTGCTCTGTATCTTGTCGAGGGATGACTCTCCGAATGTGTTAAAATTCATAACACTGCACACGAAAATTAAAAAGGCAATTTTACTACATGATAAATAAAAATTAGATGAACAAAAGATGTTTAAAAGATACGTTTCGGGCAGTTTTGGGTGCGCCGGGCTTTCTCTTCGGAGCGAGTTCTCCCACAGCGGGTGACGGGGCTCACCTCTCTCGGGGACCCCGCAGTGGGTCCGGGTGGGCGCGCCCACCCGGGAGTCCCTCCTGGGTGAAGGTGGGTCTGGGACGGGTCAGCAGAGAGCAAGCCATTTGCAAGGGAATCTGGGGGCCCGAGAAAAGCGAGGTGTCCTGAAAGTCATTTCCTCCAATAAAGGCCAAAGAGCAGAGGTCGGGGGTGAGGGAGAGACCTGGAGCGCCCTCCCTGGTCCCCTAAGTCCGCCCAGCAGGACTCGGGAGGTCTCACAGGGCAGCCCCCTCCTCACGACAGATGCGACCCCTTACTCTTGCCCTCCAGGGCTGTAAGCCGAGCCCCATCCTCCTCCCCCGGGACAGTTCCCCGTCCTAGCCGCGGGGGCGCCGCAGAGGTCACCGGCCCGCCCCCGCAGCTGCTCCCTCTCCCCACCCCGCCCGCGCCCGCTGCCTCTCCCAGGTACACTGCGCCCTCCCAGCCTGCCCGCGAGACCGGGCTGGAACCAGACCTCGAAATCATGTGGGGGGATAGGGGAGTCAGGGGAATGACCACGAGGTCACCTGGCTCTGCCCCGCCTACGGGCTCCGAACAAGGCCCCGCCCTTGCCCCGCCCTTGCCCCGCCCCCAGGCTTCGAGCACACGCCCCGCCCCTTCCCTCACCCCAGGCTCCGAGCACAAGCTTCACTCCGCTCCCGCTCCACCCCTTCCCCACCCCCAGGTTCCGAGCAACGCCCCGCCCTTTC